GAACGGTTGTCCAGAACTCAAGGAGGACTTGCAGATCCTAAAGGAGAAGAAGGGCAAATAGAAGGAAGCTTCTTTCGCAAATGTGATCACTTATGAAGATGATCTCCTCTGAAGATAAGAGTACTGCTGGACAGAAGATTCTGCAGGATGGGAGTATCGCTGCAGAAATCGCAAATGATGTAGGACTTTGAATTAAGGGGAGATTTGTTGAGTGTTACTTCAAAGTCCCACATCGGTGGGATAGGAAAATTGAGGAGGGATTGGAGCCTATAAATAAAGAGGAGATATAGGCTTCCATCACACAACACAATCCTTCAATCTGTATAATTGTGTATTAGATTTTAGGTTGTGAGTGTCAAATATTGGAGAGGGTTTGTAATTTTTCCGTGCAAAAATTACTAGTGAGATTTATCCTAGAGGGGGTCGTGGAGTAGGTCTTGAGGTGCCGAACCACGTTAAAAATTTGTGTGCTCTCTTTTCTTTTCTTTCCATTTGTTTGCAGTGGGGGCCTAACAAATATATCTCAATAGTTACAAGTGAAATTTAATACAAACATTTGCATGAATTGTGTGCCAATATTATTATTGTTGTTGTTGTTGTTGTTATTATTATTATTATTATTATTATTATTATTATTTTGCACATTAAAACACAGTTTTACTCCACACCAAATTGAGTGATGCAGAAGTTCCAATTACATCATTCTTCTATGCATAAAGTAGCTTCCAATGTAAAAATATATGTAGTTGATTATTGTTTCCTTAATTGTACATTAATTCCTTTTGATGAAGAGTTTCATTCCTCATCCTCCATATTCAATTCCATACACACTTGGAGCCCATATTGCTATTATTTTCATCATTCTTTTCTTGCTAATATTGTCCTTCAGCAATAATGCTTCCAAATCAGAGAAACTGTCAACCCTTAGTTCCATATTGATCAAACTGCTGCTGCTTCTTCTTCTTATAACCTGCTGTGCATTTGGGCATTTCCCAAATAGGTGAGTGTCATTCTCTTCACTTTGTCCACATAATATACAGCTCATGTCCACATTTGTATGTATATCTTGATATTCTGGCTTTTGTTTGCAGTCTTCCTCTCATCATTAGCCACACCACAAACTTGAATTTTGGTGGGGTCATTCTGTTCTTTTTTGGTATGCACCCAAAATGCACCATAGAAACACTCTTTAATTTAATTAAGTTCCAAATTCATTTAAATTATTTCAAAAAAATCAAACTAGACTAATACATCAGAACAGAGGCAGTACTTTTTATCCATGAATTATTATCACGTACATAATCTCATACACGTGTCAAATTTTTTTCACATTTCCTTTTGTCTCAACAAAGTTTGGCTTATAATTTACTATACCAATTAAAATTTATGTACCGAAGTAAAAAAAAAATACTAACCTTTCGTGTATCATTGGTAAAATTTATCTAAGAGAATCATTAAATTGTATGATAATTTAGATATTTAATGCACAAAGAGAAATCTCTCAAAAAAATCATAGAGTAATTTAGATGTTGAATTAGATTCAATTAAATTTTACCCGATATTTTTAAATCCTAACTTAATTATTCGACTCGACAAAATATAAAAAAATCATCTTATGTTGAAGTAAAACAAAGAGAAAGCACCAAATAAGAGCTCTCTGTTTGTACCTTTAAAATAGGAGTTCACGCTGTGGTAACTCTATATAGACATTTCAAATTACTTTAAGTTTTGGTAATAAATAAGGTTACGATTGACATTTTAAATTCATTTTGACTCCTAGCTATTTAAAGAATAAAATATGAAGCATTTATTTTCAATGTTTTACGTTTATTTTAATCTTTTTCCCATAAAACATCTTTTGGTCATCATATGCATGGTGCACATTTCGCAATTGCTCAAGGCCACGCTTAATAGGAATAAACGAATAATAGCACCCCATTTAATTTGAACGTTTTTTAAAAAAATTCTCACCAAATTCTCTATATATGGCTTTGTTTTTTCTCACCCACATCATTATTCTGTTGTAGAACTTGTTAATGGAATTTCATAATGGAGGAATATTTTTACTCACCTCTCTCAAAAAATAGGATCCTGTTAGGCCCCCACTGAAAATAAATGGAAAGAAAAGAAAAGAGAGCACACAAATTTTTAACGTGGTTCGGCACCTCAAGACCTACTCCACGACCCCCTCTGGGATAAAATCTCACTAGTAATTTTTGCACGGAAAAATTACAAACCTTCTCCAATATTTGACACTCACAACCTAAAATCTAATACACAATTATACAGATTGAAGGATTGTGTTGTGTGATGGAAGCCTATATCTCCTCTTTATTTATAGGCTCCAATCCCTCCTCAATTTTCCTATCCCACCGATGTGGGACTTTGAAGTAACACTCAACAAATCTCCCCTTAATTCAAAGTCCTACATCATTTGCGATTTCTGCAGCGATACTCC